CCTTCCAGGGGCTTTCTAGTTTCGGGGGGTGAAATTTCCTTTTTCTTTGTCTGATGTATTTACACTGACAGAGCTGGAAGGGAGCAGTCTCCGGCCCCCTCCCTCTGCCCCGTGGCTCCTGGGGGCCTCCCTTTGGGGCCAAAAAGAACCAGTCTCATTTCTCCTCTTCCTGACAGCACGTGGCTGTGTCCCTGACCAGCTCTTCTGCAGGCTAAGTCCCTGGCTCCTTCAGAAAAGCTCCTGGTCGAGAATGATCTCAAAGCCCTGGGCCGCCCTGGCTGCCCTCCGCTGTCCGCTTTCAGATGGGAAGACCAGAACTGAACTAGATGAGGCAGACAGAGTCTGAGCAGAGCAGAGGACGGGAGGATTGGCACGTTTCGAACAGAGCAGAGGACAGCAGGGGTACACACACACACAGACACACACAGAGACACATGCACACGCACGCTGGCTCTTTGGAATCACGGCTTCCTTCTGGCCACCCCCTTCGTAATACTTTGGAGAAATTCGCCAGGCGAGTCAAAGTCCCTGGACAGCCGTTTGGAGACCCCGTTCTCCATCTCCCCTTTTCGACCCTCAGGTAGATGCTCTTGCCATTTTCCTCCTTATCCTGGTAATTAACACCCTACGAGTCATTTCCAGTAATTCTCCCCCTCCGCTCTTTTTGGTAGATAACTGGCTGCCAAAGGGAAGTCCGGCACCCGTCTTCTCTTCTGTCACGCCCTCCCTCAGACCAGGGATCTGCCCTCAGCTCTCCCTAGCGCCGGTCCCTCATCTCCAGTCACCTGCTGGGCCTCTCCACCCAGATGTCCCGGAGGCATCTCAAAACCACCACAGCTTCTTAGATTTCCCTCCTCCACACTCAAGGCTGCACCCCTCACAGCCTCCAGGCTCACCAGCCCCGGTCAGCCTTACCTCCTCCCTCTCCCTTACTCCCACATTCAACAGTTCCTTTCTTGTAGGTTCACTCCCGGCAGGAGCCCGCTGACACCATCTCCATGGTCCACTTGCAGCTTTCCTTACAAGTCACTAATTTTCCAGCTCAGGCGCCTTTGCCCGGGCTGTGGCCCGGGCCTGGGACCTATGCCTATTTTGTTTCGAGCCTCAGTTCCAACACCACCGACCAAGCGCTGTCCCAGATCCCCACTCAGTTGCACCATCCTTTGCCTAAGAAATGACCCGCTTTTGTGCCTGCTTTTCTAAGCAGCCTATCTTCCCCTCAATAGAATGGAAGCACCTTGAAGGGAGGGACGGTTTGTTTTTTCAGTCTTTGCACTGCCAGGTCGTGGAGCTGTGCTCCACACTTCCGTTGCGCAGCCAGGCTTATTCAACCAACCAACCAGCAATCCACAAGCGTTCTAAGCACAGAGCAGGTGGGAAGGGAAGGGCCCCCCTCCAGGACCTTACTTTCTGATAGAGGAGACAGTGTAAAGGACGGGCCACAGTAGGGGCCCTGCCCCAGAGATGGCATCTCCCCATGCCTTTGGGAGAGCGTTCATTCCTCACACAGACCACGCCCCCCCTTGTATCTCACAGGTAAAACGAAGGGAGTGAAGACCCTCCTGGCTCCAGCACCGCCTTCCAGGAGCCCGGCTGCCTCGGCCGCAGTGCCCCGAGAGGCCAGGGACCCTCAGCCTCCTTTGCGGCAGCTCCCGGAGGCTGAGCACCCTTCCTCCTCCGCTCCGAGGGCTGATGTTTCCTTGCTCCCCATTGCCTCTGGCATCAAAGTCCTGTGGCATTCAAGGCCCTTCCCTGTCCAGCTCTGTCCTGTCCTTCTAGACTGATTCCCTCTGGCTTCCTGCTCTTGCACTCTGGGTGCCTGTTGAGCTGGCCTTCTTGACGCTCCCTGTACAAGGCAAGCCCCTGGACCTCTCTAAGCCTCAGTTTCTTTCTCTGAAAAATGAGGAGACTGGACTACATGGCTCTGGATCTGTATCCCTTCGTCGGGAGGGGGAGGTGGAGAGCGGGGGAAGGGTACTCCCCCCCCCAACCCCAGAAGAAGCCCAGGACTCTGCCACTTTTCCGAACCCAGAGTTTGTGGACTTGGGAGGAATCACCCTGAAGGATGTGGTGAGCTCCTGGCTGTCCCGGGGACCCCTCCCTGCGATGTGCCGGGCTCTGGGCCTGTTCGGGGCAGTGTCCTGTTGGAAGGCTCTCCTGGCAGGGAGAACAGGCCTGCCTGCCTGGCTTTCCGTGTGTCTCCATCACTCGTCTCTCCTAATTGGGCTCCAAACTGCCCCAGACGCCTGCTGGGAGCCCTGGGGGGTCAGGGGCCTGGGGCAGGAGCGGGGCTGGAGCCCAGCGGGCGTCTCCCCTGCCGCTAGTCACAAACACCCGCTCCATGGCCAGCTGGGTAGGGCCCTGCGGGGTGGCGGGGCCTCGGGCAGCTCTGACGCAATGCCAGGGCAAGGACAGACTGGTGTTTTTCTCCAGGTTCTGGGGGGTGCCCAGCACAAGGCTGACTCAGAGCCCCTGGCCCCAGGACAGTGGGGGATTGCCAGATCAGGTCACGGAATCCTCCCTGGCCCTCTTCTCAGAGAAAGCCGGAAAAGGAGCAGCTCCTCCTCTGCCCCAGAGAAAGATGGGAACCTGGGTCCTGCCCTCAGGGGGCTGCCAGTCTGGGGGGCGGGTCAGAGGAGGAGCACCCCAGGCCCCGCCCTCAGGAGCTCACTTTTCACCAGGATGATGAAGCCTCCACCCCAGGCCACAAGGCCCAGCTGCCCTACACTCCATGGTCTTGGGCCCCTTTGTCCTCAGCCTCTGTCTGACTGCCCCTCTAGCCCTGCCCCACATCCCATCTCTCCTTCCTCCAACAGGCTGCTTTCCAGCCCCAGCCCTCAGGGCTGAGCCTCTCTGATGCCCCGCTGGGCGACTAGGCCCTCCTTTCTCTTCCTCCCTCCCATCATCATTTCCACCTGCCTTCATCCCCCAGACTAGCTGAGTCCCAGGGTGTCTCCCCTTTTCTCCACTGGCCTCCATCCTAGTCTCTTTCCTAGCCTGATTTGGAGCCAGGGGTTCTGGGCCCCCAGCCTGACCCTACCTACTAGCTCAGTGACCTCCCCACAAGCCATTTCACCTGGGCCTCGATTTCCCCATCCTTAAAATGGGGATAAAATATCTGAATGCCCTCTCCCCCAGACATGTAAAGAAAGTACTTGGTGAACCTCAACCCCAAAGCCCCCTCCTCCCTCTGTGAGCATCTCATACCTCCCCTAGTCTGTGAATGGCATGAGGGTTAGGATTAGGGCATCCTCCCTGGTCAGCTGAGCACAAGGCAGGGTGCACAGTGGGCACTTTAGAGAATGTTTGCTGAATGAATGAGCTTGGAAGAGAAGGTCCACCTCGGCACTAGTGGAAATATCTGCATTTTCAAAAACGGTTAGTTCTCTCTCCCAAGTGGGTTAAACATTCCCCTTGTGTCTGCCACTTGAGGGGGATCGTTTTATCGCTAATCTTTGATGCTCTGACCCTGCATGGGTGAGGTTGGGTGATTGGCTGATGCCCCTTGTCACCAGAGAACAGGGGTTCCCCTGGGCTTGGGGTTAGCCTCACACCCTTCCCCAATAGGCCTGAGAACTGAGCAGCTTCCTCAAACCCCACAGCACCCTGAGAGTGGAGATGGCCCTCAGGCCACGCGCCCTGCTGCTCTGGGTAGGGCACCTCCTACCCCCTGGATGGGATGGGGGGCGATTGATCTTGCCATCACCCCCTGGTTCTCGCTCCCCTCTGGTCCAGAGTCCCCCTCTCCCTCTCTCCACTCTCTCATCTCACCAACAGAGGTCACTCAGCCCCCACATCCCTGCTGAGGGAGGCATCGGCAGGCCAGATGCTGGGCCAGGCCAGGTGGGCAGTCACCCACTGCTGCTGAGATGGTGGCCCACACACCCACCACCACTAGGATTCCTTATCAGGTAGGACTCGGGCTGGCCTCCTTCAAATTCTAGGAAATGCTCCCTCCTGCCCTGACCACTCTCCCTGGGCGTCTTGGGGATGGAGAAGGGAACAGCCCTGAACCCCTTCAGGGAGCTCCCAGGCTGGGGGGACAGGAGCAGCCCCAGGCCCAAGGGTTCCCAGGCTGGGAGGACAGAGGAGGTTCCAGAGTAGCAGGGCATCACACGGCAGGGAGGGACATTAGCTAGGGTCACTAAGGAAGCAGAGGAGATGTAAGTCAGCTGGTGGGAATTTGGGAAAGAGGCCAGGATGGAGGCCTGTGGAGAAAAGGAGAGACACCTAGTCTGGGGGATGAAGTCAGGTGGAAATGATGATGGCAGGGAGGAAGAAAAAGGAGGGCTTGGCTACAAGTGGGCTGGAATCATCCTGTAGGAGCATGGACCTCAGTCCTACAGCCTGGGGTCTAGGATACCTCAAGACTCCAGCCCCTATGCCTGCCACTGACAGGCAAGGTCCCTCACCTCCCCCTCGCCCGGTCCCCCAGCCCACTCTGGGTGGGGGGGAATGGGGGGTCTCAATACCTTCCCCACCTAGGTCACGAACAGGAGACCTCTCCTCACCTCACCTTTCCTGTCCCAGGCATAACACCTGTGATTTGTTAACCCTCCCCCCATAGCCCGCTTTGGGTGGGGGGGTCCCAACTCCTTCCTTAACCAGATCACGGACATGCTACACACCTGCCCCTCTCATAGTACAGGTGAAAAGTCAAAAGTGAGAGGCAGGAGGGCTCAGGTCACTGAGACCACTGTCCAGCCCCTGGTCAGCCCCAGGGGAGGAGAGAGGGGTCTGGACAGTTTACGGCTCTCTGGCCTTCTGCCCTGACTTCTCTTGCTCCCCCAAACCTGGAGACCTAATCCTAGCTTCCAAAGCTAGACAGCACTGGAGGGTTTGAGAAGTTCTGCTCTCCTGGCGGTTATCAAGTGGGTCGGACCACTAGTATTCCCATTTCACAGATGAAGAAACAGAGGCGCAGAGGGGAAGCCCATTTGTCAGGGCTTAAGGGTTAGAGCCAGAACGGCACACTAAGAATCCCAGAGGCACTTGTTATATACAAAAAAAAAAAAAAAATTTAATTGAAATAACCTGTATAAAAAAATATGATCTCCATACATTTCACACTGTTCAAGTGAAGGACCGAACCCCAAAAGCCAGGCCACACTCAGGGTGACCTGGGCACAAACACAGCGAGTAAAATAAATTAAAGGGGCTGCTGACTGCCACCCTCCCCCCCCTCCCTGCAAGGGCCAACAAAAGCCCCGGCGGCGGGGCCAAAGGGCCCGCCGCCTGCCCCACTTAAAAAAAAGACATTCTATTCCCCTTAAATTAGGCTTTGTACAATAATTCTCCATCTTCCAACAAGTACAGGGAGTCAGAAAGAAAACATACAGTGGACAGGAATGCGAGAATTCAGGGTCAGTCGAGCCACTGCCACGAGGGGGGGGCCAGCTCGGCGCAGAATCAACTCTCAACAATAAATTAAGCCCAATAAATAGGCCCGGCCACCAAGGCCGGGCCGCTGTCCTCAATGGTCATACAATAAATAAAAAATGGTCGCTATCATACACGAGGGGGACTCCGGACATAAATACGCGGACAGGGGCGGGGGCGGGGGCGGGGGCCGGGTCAGGCCTGGCTAGTTGCATTGATCTGTGCATCCTCTCGAACAGGCCCATCCACACTTAAGACTAGAAGGTGGCCAGAAGGGCAGGGACAGTGGAGAAGGCGGGGCTTAGGCAGAAGACCAATGAATGAATGAAGGGAGGAAGGAACAACGGGCGGGAGGGTCAGGCAGGGGGCGTTGTGCCCAGAGGTGAGATGATCCGAAGGAAACAGGGGTGGACATTCCTGATTTCCGAAACCAAGCGGCTAGCCCAGTCTGGCCTCAGTGCAGACCGCCAGAAAGGTGGGGGAGCAGCAGAGAATCGAGGGATGGGTGTGTGGCCAGTACCCTCCCTGGGGGTCAGTCACAGGGCGAGGGTGCCAGGCCCCAGGAGGTGAGGAGGCAGGGCCCTCGACTGAACTGATTCTTTGGGTAGACGCAGCTCAGGACCCCCCTCCCCACCCCCACTAAAGCAGCTATCAGAAAGGCACTCAGAAGCAAGGGAATCCGTCCCAGCTCTATGAGAGCCAAGAAGTTGAACGTGGGATTCTAGAGGTCGCGTGCTCGCTGCTCCCGGAGGAGAGGCGGGGTGGATGGGCCCGGCGCCCGCCCGCCCACCCGCGGCCGGCCATCAGCAGGGGCCCTGAGCCCCTCAGCCGGGGCCTTGACTACTGGAGGAGGAGGGGTTTCCTAGCCCTGCCCGGTCAGCGTGCCCTGTGCCCTGGATCAGAGAGCGCGTGGCGGCGGGCGCTGCGGCTCCCTCTCTCAAAGGCTCTCGTTGCTGGAGCTCGTGCTGGACACGTCCGTGTCGATGGTGCGCAGCCGTAAGTCACAGTCCTCGGACTTCCCCACGTCCGAGCGAAGCATCCAGGGGTGGTCGAAGATCTGGTCCAGGGTGGGCCGATCCGACGGCCGCAGGGACAGACACCATTTGATGAGCTGCTGGCACTCTGAGAGGGGGAAGGAAGGCAAGGTCAGCCCCCCGGGGACACGCCCCTCACAGCCAGCCTCCCTCCTTTCTATAAAAGGCTGCCCTGGGCAGGCACACCCGAAAACGCCCCCGAAGTGCTCCAGGGTCCATGGGGAGCTCACGCGCCCCCCCCCCAGCAGTCCCCCCCCCCCCCCCCCCCCCCCCCCCGCCGTCCCCTCCCATTCCCACGGCCTCTCTGACGTCCACCCACTGTGCCCGGCTCTGACCTCTCAGGCCAAGCAGAGACAACCTGACCCTGCCTCCCTCGCAGACAAACGTAGGTCCCCCGTCCCTGGCCTCCCCATCGCCACTCACCAGTGGAAATCCTCCTCCTGAAGTACAGCCGGCCCCGAAGGATCTCTTCGTCTTGCTCAAAGGGGATATCCCCGCAGACCATGTCGTAGAGGAGAACCCCCAGGGACCACACGGTTGCCGACCTGCCGTGGTAGCGGTGGTACCGAATCCACTCCGGAGGGCTGTACACTCTGGTGCCTGGAGGGAACACAAAGACAGAAGCCCCGGGTCACAGGCCGCCCCCGTCTGTGTCTGTCCCCCGCCTCCGCCCTGAGAGAGGCCGGGACTATTATGTTACAAGGCCAGTGGAGAGCCGTCAGCTGACTGCTCACCGAGGCCGTGGCACCGCGTGGCGTCTGCGGCAGCGCCTGCCCGGGACCAAAATTAGACACAAAAGACCCGAGGAAGAGGAGGAGGAGGAGGAGTGAAAGACGATCCTCCGGAAAAAGCCCAAACCCGTTTGGACCCCGCAGGGCTTGGTTTGTTTTGGTTTTTCAGACAAATCTCATTTACCAGGGCAAGGAGCCCAGTGGAGGAGGAGAAAGGGGGCCTCTCCCCCCGCCAAGCCAGGCTCCGGCCTTGCCTAATAAGTAGCTACTGGCTCGGCCCACCCGCCGGTGCCTTGGAAACCACACTCAACCTGGAATTTGTGATGCAGGAGGTCACATGAGCTGGGGACTCGAGTTTCACAACAAACAGATGTGAAGTGAGGATACGGGGCTCTTTTGGGGGGGGGGAAGGAGGAGGAGACTAGTCCTCCAGCCAGAGGGGGATCCTCTCCCCCTCCCCTCTGGGTGGACCTCCTCCGCCCCTGCCCCAGGGATGGAGCTGGCTGGGGTGGGGGCAGGGAAAAGCCAGCCCCGGCATTCCCGGGGTTTCAATCTGCAATGCAGGGTTTTCTTTCTGCAGCATCCCGCATCCTTGGCTGGCTCCCTCCCTCCCTCTCACGCGTGCGCACATGGACCGCCTGCCAGGAATCTACCCCCCCTTTCCCCCACGACAGGGCTCCCTCATTGGAGGGAAGCATCAGGGTTCTTGCATCAGCAGACCTCCCCCAAAAGAAACACCTTCTCCTACCAGGTAGCCAGCTAGCTCTGGGGGCTGTCGCCCTCCCACCGAAAATCCCACACGACCTTCTGTCCCCTCAGCGCAGGGGCAGCGAGACACCCCAAACCCAGAGGCGGCGCTGGCGCTGAGGCATCCTCCCCCAAACACCGCCAAGGGCACACACAGCGCTAACTCACCATCAAAGTCTGTGTAGACTGTGTCCTTGAGCAGGGCGCCCGAGCCAAAGTCGATGAGCTTGAGCTCCCCCGTCCGAAGGTCCACCAGCAGGTTCTCGTCCTTAATGTCCCGGTGGACCACCCCACAGGCATAGCAGTGGCGCACGGCCTCCAGGACCTGGCTGAAGAAGCCGCGGGCCATCTCCTCCTCCAGGGCACCCTTCTCCGTGATGAAGTCAAAAAGATCTTTGACCAGCTCCGGCCGCTCCATGACAATGAGGTAGCCCTCCGGCCGCTCGTACCAGTCCAGAAGCTTGATGACGCCTCGGAAGCCAGAGCCCACCTTCTTCAGGAGCACAATCTCCAAGGGCACCATCACGCCAGCCTGGAGAGGGTGCACAGAAGCCGGGATATGAGCCCCGGGCCTCCGCACCCCAAAAGGCAGCCAGACCCTACACCCGCAACACGGTGTCCCCAACCTGCTCCCACCCCACTTCCTTTAGAGGTTTTAACACCTATGTGGTTTAACCCAACTATGTGCTTGGCACATAGTAGGTGTTACAGAAATGCTCTGCCCTTCCCACACTCCCGGGGACTGCCCACCCTTCTCAGCCTCCGCTTCTTCCTCCTCCCCACACCCCCGGTTTAACCCAGCCTTCTTCCCCTCCTCACATACAAACAAGGTGACTAAGCTTCACCCCCCCCCACACACTCCCCCTTCCCCGGCCAGGGCCCCGTAGGGAGAATCTGGGGGAAAGCCCCAGCCTGGGAAGGGGCCTGTTTTGGGCACAGGAGGAGGAGGAAGGAAGGAAAGGGGGTGGGGCAAAACTCCGGCATATCTCTCACACCCCACCCCCCCCACCCCATGTAAACAATAACAGAGGGGCGGGAACCCTGAGCCTCCGCCCCGGTGGGGGGGGGAAGGGGAGAGGCAGCAGCGGAGGCGGGGCCCAGGCCAGGGCTGGATAGGAGCAGGTCCCCCCCTAGTCCCCCCTTCCCCAAACACCGGCGCCGGCCCGGCCCGGCTTGGCCAGTAGGTCTGTCTACTTACAATTGTACCCCACTCGGTGACTCTCTCCTTAACCACATGCTTCACAGCGACCTACCGGGGGAGGAAGGAAAGCCCGGGTTAGACGCGCGGGGTGGGGCGAGGGGCGTCTGGCATTTCCAGACAGCCTCGCTTCCCTCCGAACCAGGGGGTTCTGGGCTGTCTGGCTCCCTTCCCGGACTTCTCCGAGGCTGGAGGGGCTCGGAGCCCGGGGGAAGGGGCAGCCCCTGGAGCTCTCCCCTCCCCCCGGCCCACGCCCCGCGCCCCGCGCCCCGCCTGAGCGACGGAGGTGTCCGTCCGGACAGCCGCCCGCGCCGGGGATCGGCCGGGGCCCCCTTCCCCCCGGGGACTCACCGGCAGCCCGTCGGCGATGCGGCTCCCGGCGTAGACGGTGCCGAAGCCCCCGCTTCCCAGCACGGAGCCCACCTGGTAGACTTTCTCGAAGGGCTCCTTGTCGGCTTTGGCTGCGGGCGGAGGAGACAGTGGGGAGGGGGGGTTGGTGCGGGGCCGCGCCGCGCCGCGGAGCGGGGTCCCCCCGCGCCGCCCGGCCCGGCCCTTACCGGGCTGCAGGATCTTCACGGGCAGGTGGTCCACGCTGCTGGGGCTGCAGATGTGCGCCAGGGAGCCGAACTTGGACAGCAGCATCTTGTCTCCGGGGCAGGGGGCCCACGAGGCGGCGCGGCCGGGGGCCGAGGCGCGGAGCGCGCGGGGGGCGGGGGGCCGCCGGGGCTCGGCCGGACACGCCCGGAGCCCAGGCGGCGGCAGACCCGCCGACTGCCCACGGGCGGCCACGAGCCCACCGCGGGGACCCGCAGCACGTCACCCTCCCGAGGGGAGGAGGGCGGGCTGGAGCGGCCCCGGGGCTCTGATCCCCCGGGCGGCCGGGGGGCGACGGGCGTCCGGGGCAGTGGCGGCGGCGTCCGGGCGAGCGAGGGACCGCGGGAGGCAGGGAGCGAGCAGCCGCCCCGAGGTGCGGATCGTGAGCGAGCCGGCGTCCGAGGCTGGGGCCGGGGCGCCGCCGCCGCCGCCGCCGCCGCTGCTGCTGCTGCCCACGCTCGGCTCGCTCGGCTCGGCTCGCCTGGTCCGCTCGCCTGGCTCGGCTCGGCTCGCCTGGCTCCGCTCGCCTGGCTCCGCTCGCCTGGCTCCGCTCGCCTCCGCTCCGCTCCGTCCGAGCCGCGCGCTCCGCTCTGAGCTCGCTTACACACAGCGCTCGCCTCTTAACTCCCAATATTTTGGTGTGGGGGGGGGGGCGCTGTAGCCGCGTATCCCTCCGCGCGCCCGCAGGAGGCGGGGGCACGTGGGGGGGGCCTGGGAAACACCTCTCCTTTCTGTTCGATTTAGCAACACCGCCCTCCCCCACGCACGCGCGCGCACAGGCTCACGCTCCGGCTCCCTCTCCCCCCCACCCCGCCAATGAGGGGAACTCAAGGAAAGCCGCAGGAGAGGAGGAGGAGGGGGCTGCTCGGCCGCTGGGGCGCCGAGGGGCGCGGGTTGGGGGCGGGGGTGGGGGAGGCGGGGACTACTTTCTTGTAGTAAGCGTCGCGCAGGCACACTCTCGCTCTGCGCAGTCTGACCGAAGGAGGGCGCGCGCGCTGGCGCGCTCCAGCGTGCACACGCAGCCCGGGCGAGCGGCCGGCCGAAGGTTCGCTCATTTGCATAGGGTGGAGCCGCGAGGGCCAATGGGAAGCCTCGGCTTTTTAAACAACTCTCCCTGTTCGGGCGGTGAGGAGGCAGCCCCTGCCAGAGCCCGGGGAGCCTGGGGCTATTTGCATATGCATGAGCGGCGCGCCGCCGGGCAGGCTGGGCGCGGGGAGCCCGACGCCGGGAGCGCGCTCCCAGGCCAGGCAGGCCCGGCAGGCCCAGCGGCGGGGGGTCCGGGCGCGCGGGCGGGAATTCCTCGGCGCACCACCCCCCTCGCCACCCTTGGGCGCGCCGGGAAAGGACACTCCCCTTTTCGAGTGAATTTCCCGCGACTGCCGCAGGGGGAGGAGGGGTACGGACCCCTCACGACCCCCGGGAAACTGGGGACCCTTCCCCCCCCCGCCGGGAGCCCCTTCTAAAAAAAAAACAAGCAAGCACGTGCCAGCCCTTCGCGGCTGGAAGCCGGCCTGCCCCCTCCCCTCCCACGCCCCTCCCCCACCCGCTGCGGGCTCTGGGGAGGGGAGAATTTGAGGAATGAGGCTGGCATCCAGGGCGCGGGGCGGGCGGTCTGGGCATGGAATCCCGGGGGGAGGGGGCGGCCCCCCTGCTTGCGCCCCGGGGGAGAAGGGCACGTGAGTGGGGGAAGCCCGAGGTCTCCCCGCCCCCCAGGGATGGAAGGTGGCAGCAGACACGGGGACGTCCACCCCCAGCCACACGCACGCACTGCGGCGGGGGCCTGGCGGCGTGCGCGCGTGGCCGGGGCAGCGCGTGGATAAGAACGCGTGTCTCTGCCTGCGTGTGTAGGGGGTGGGGGACCTAGCGAGGGTGTGCGCGCGTGTCCGCGTGTCTCGGAAGGCTGTGGCTGTGGGGGTGGCCCGTGGCTCTCTCCAACATGTGTGTGAGACACCGGACGCTCTAGGCGGGGAGGGGGCGCATCTCAAGCAGCCCCCCGCCCAGTGTGGCATTATACATGATGTGGGGGGAGTGTGTGTGTGTGTGTGCGTGCGTGCGTGCGTGACGCACCGCTGTGTGTCTGGATCCAGGGCTGCTGTCCCCGGGTGTGTTTGTGTATGTGACTGGCACACGGTGCTTGCCTGCGTGTAGTGGGGGGAGCGTCCCCCCGTGCTCCCCCGCCCAGCCCCCGCAGAGCTGCGCTGCTGGGAGGAGGCAGGGTCCACAGAGGTCTTCAGAGGGCGCTGACCCACGAGGAATGCCCCCCCACTCCCCACCCCCATGCCCTCTCTGCAGCCGCAGCCCCAGACCTGGCCCTCCTAAGCCCCTGCGGCAGCTCTGCGGGCCGCCCGGGCCCCCTCAGGTCTGGGACAGTGCCCGGCCACTGCTCTCCCTGCCCAGGCCCGGAGGAGGGAGGAGGGAGGGGGTCACCTGAGGACAAGCTCTGAGCTTCGGCTGCAGCCCAGACTTCCAGCTCTGGGCTGGTGAGGCTCGACCTGGGGCCCCTCCCTGCGGTGCCTGCCCAGCCTGAGACATCCCCCCCACCTCTCTGTGAAGACACCCTCCCCCGCGGAGCCCCCTCCTCCCGAGACCCTCCCCCGTCCGGTCCTCTTCCTGAATAACCTCTCCCTCTGAGACCCTCGAAGCCGCACCTTTAGAATCCTCACACCCACTCCTCCGCCCCAGGCTGAGACCACCCCTCTCCACCCTCAGATCCCTCACCACTCCCTCCCCAGCTGGGATTCAGCCTTTCAAGATGGGTAACAGTAAAAATAGAGTAATTTCCAGTCACCTACCGAAGCAAGCTTGCTCACTCTCCACAGCTCAGAGGGAAAACGCGGTGCAAGGATTTGCCTCTTTACTTTCAGGGAAATGGAAAAGGCCAGAAAGATGGAGACTTTGGCCGGTGGCTGGAGCCCAGAGGACGGACCTATGCACCCTGACCCCAAAGCCTCAAGGCAGTCACTGTACCTGGTGGGGGAAGGGGGAGAGATGCCTCTAGGCCCACCCCCAGACCTGGGCATCCTCCCCAGCCTGCCCTATCCCCATTGCCCAGGGGTCTGTCCTTGAGGGCCACGCCCAGAGCATGGGTGATATAAGGGTCTGTGATCCGTGTCCCTTGAGGAAAGAGACTGGGAGTGTGGAGAAGCAGAGCTCCAGGAGGGAAGACTCCGTGGAGGAAGGGGCTTTCAAGGATTCCTAGGTTTTGAACAGGGGCGAGTCACTCAGCTTTTCAGTACTCTGGGCAGCTCTGCAAGGATATCCACCAGGAGTAGCGATATAATAATAGAGTTGTCGAAGGTACCCCCGACATCAGTACCGGGAATGTCTTCATCTGAGAGTTCTCAGTACTAAAGAGAGCCCAGGTTCCTAGCCTTTAACATTCTCCCTGTCCTCTGGCATCCTCCGAATGTCGGGATGCCATATGGCCCTCCCGTTGTGCAGATGAGTAACAGAGGCCCAGCAAAGGGCTGTAGAGATAGGAGCCCTGGGTTTAGGGAATCATCAAACTGCAGCGTCAGAAGGGACCTCAGCATCCCTGGCCAGTGGTCCTGCAGCCATCCAGGGAGAAAGAACCCCGCCCCCACCCCCGCCCCAGTCTCAAGGCAGCCTATTCCACTCTGGGCCAGCTCTCACTGGAAGAAGGAAGCTTTTCCTGACCCCTAACCTAAATTTGCCTTTTGAATTTCTGCCTTCTGGCGCCCAACAGAACAAGCCCAATCCCCCTTCCAAAAACTAGGATCTCAGGATTATCATGTTCATCTTGGCCTCCCCCACCCCAGGCCCCTCAGTTCTCTCTTCTCCAGGCTAAATATCCCCAGTTCCTTCCTATAGACTCAAGGACCATGGCAATCCTGGCTGCCCTTCACTGGGTGTGGCCTGCCTAGGGCAGAGTTCAGAGGGATCACCACCTCCTTATACAGCCCAAGGTTATGATAGATTCGGGCTGACTGCATTGCTTATGATCCGCTAAAACCTCTAGATTTTTTCCAGACAAACGGATGCCTAATGATCCCCCTTATATCCTGTCATTGTGAAATTGATTTTTTGAACCCAAGTGCAAGACTTTACATTGACCCCTCCTGAATTTGATCTTCTATTACTGGATTTAGCCCAGTGCCCTTGCCTGTCAAGACCTTTTTTTTTTTTTTCATCCTGACTCAGCCAGCAAGTGTGGTCACTATCGCTCTCTGCATTGTGTCCTTTACAAAGTTGGTGAGCATGTCATCTACATCTGTCTTTATCAGCATTAGGGACAAAATATTAAACATCATAGGGCCAAGTACAGATCCTCAAGGCACTTCCCTGGAGACTTTCTGCTAAGTTGATCTTGAATCATTAACAACTCATCTTGGAGTGCACCCTTCAACCAGTTATGACTCTATCTAATTGCATTCCTGTCTAATCTATATCCCTTCTTCATCTTTTCCACTCTGGTAGCATGAAATGCATTATCAATGCTTTGCTAAAATCTGGGCGAGCTAGACTTTTGTCCAAAAAGGAAGTACGGTGAGGATCTTCTAGATAAGGGAGGTTGGCTCTTGGGAATCACCCCCTTCCTAGGCTAGGTGTGAAGTCAATCTCACTGGCCTGTAGTCTCCTAGGACATTTGCTCTCTTCCAGGTCCTGGGTGCCTCGTCCACTGGTTCTCCAGGATCTGGGAGCTTCCACTTCTCCCCACCTCCGTTGGAACATAAACACCTGGAGGGCAGGAACTATTTCACCTCTGCCTTATGTTTGTATCTTCCAGTTCTTTCCGTCCATCTCCCATCTCCTCCACTCATCCATCTTGAACCAGTGGACTTTTGTTCCTCAAGGGCAGTTAACTGCTATCTTACTATCTCCTTACTTATCTTGGGTTTCAACATCCCAGTAGCCATTTTTATCATGTCATTTCCAGGGCAAAGGGCATGTCCCTGGCAAGAGAAAAGAAAGCTAAGGAGAATAGAAAGGGCTCCTGTTTTCAATCCTGGCAACGCTAATGAGGAGATTGTTTGAGATGGTCCCCAGTTCTCAAACCAGTTGGGACATTCTTGGATTCCGTGCACAGCACATACTGTGACTCACCTAAAGGCCAAAAGGCTCAATCCCC